GGAAGAAGTTGAGGCAGAAAGTAGCTCCAAGGCAGAGGCGGAAGCGGAAGCAAAGGCAGAAGCAGCCGCCGCCGCAGAAAAGGCGACGGCAGAGGCAGCAGCCGACGTTGCAGAAGCAGCGCAAACACAAACAGAGGCAGACGATGAGGCCGATGTTGAAGCCGATGCTGAAGCCGATGTTGACGCTGATGCCGATGCCGAAGCTGATGCCGAAGGAGAGATGTCACTGGATTATGGAGAGGAAGCAGACGATATCCAACCTACCACAGAGGTCAAGCCAGAGGACCAAGAAATGGTGCATCTTCTCATGGGAGGTGCTCCATTAGGTTATCTGAACAAGAAGAGAGGACCTGGCCGGCCACCAAAGAACGGAATTATGTCCAAGCGAGAGCAGCGGCTTCTTAAGAAAGCTCAGCAGGAGATGGCTAAGAAGACGATACCACAGCCTCCTCCTGGAGAGCCTCCCATCAAGCGGAAGGTCGGCCGTCCTAGGAAACACCCACTACCAGACGAAGGAGGAGATCGACCGGAGAAGCGCAAGTACAAGCCCCGGAAACCAAAGGGCGAAGACGGTCTTGAAGGATCAGATGCCGAAAGACGCGCCAGAGAGAAGAAGGAAAAGAAGGCTCGTCCCAAGTCGCCCCCGCTCGAACTCAAGATCGAGGACTACACGGAGGAGCAGCTGCAGAAGCCGAACAAGAACTACGGAGTGCTTATCGACGAGACCCTCACTGCGGCAGGGCCTGACGGTCTCACCCTCAAACAGATTTATAAGCGAATTACCCAGAGATACCCGTGGTTCTACTTCCACACGGAGACAAAGGGCTGGGAGTCAAGTGTACGACATAACCTTATCGGGAACGAAGCTTTCAAGAAGGACGATACCACAGGCTTGTGGTCCAGGGTGCCCGGTGTCGAACTCGATGCCGGCAAGAAGCGCAAGGCGACGTCACCGGACCGTTCTATGAGTGCGGGCTATGGTCACTACAACCACCCAATGTACACTCAGTACGCCCAACAGCAGCAGAGTCACATGCCTCCTGGCTACCAGCATCTTCCTCATAACTACCACGCGCAAGCCTATGCAGGGCAGCAAGCGCAGACAGCAGCCAGAACGCCACAATACTCTCCCCCCGGCGTGGTACCGAACCCTGGTCAGCCCGCACCGCCAGTGACGTCTCAACCAGTGGCGCCAGTGACGCTCCCTGGATACGGGGCCGCTGCTGCGATTGCACGACCTCAAGGTGTCGCAGGGCAGCCTTCTACATACAGTTCACCGTATGCTTCAAGACCACCTCCAGCTCATCCCGCAGTCAAGACCGAAGAAGGCGCCGCCGCAACTTCAGCACCGCCCATCACACAACCTGCTCCAGCCGCCATCCCTGGAGCGCAACCACCCCCACCACAGATACCCGCTGCTGCCCCGCCGCAGCAAGCTCGACCTACACCTACACCACCAGCGCAAGCCGAACCACGTCCCGTCATTCAGCCCAGGTTACTCTCAGCTGTTAATGGCCTCAAGAACGGTCTTATTGAGAACCTGAAGAAAGCCAAGAATCCAAAAGCAGAGGCCATCGTCATGTCTGCCCTCAACCGCTGCCTGGGACTCAAGAGTGCCGCTACAGAGAATCAGACCATGGAAGATATCTGTATGAAGGGAATACAGAAGCTCCTCGACGGTTTCTCGACCCGAAGCAACACTCCCGGATCAGGGGGCACGCCCACCCCCACTGGGCCGACAAATGTGTTTGATTCCAAGGTCTTCAATTCTCTCCTAGGGTTCAAGAACGTTTCGTCGAATGCCCTCAAGAGCAGGATTGGCGAGGCCAAGGCCGAGGCAGTCACCCTATCCGCTATTGATCGAGTGCTGGGCTTGGCAGACGCGAGCATAGTACCGCCGCCTGCGGAAGCCAGCGCCTCAGGGTCGCCCGCAGCGGGCTTCGACGGAATCGAGTCGCACTTAATGAATTCGGTGAAGCAGCTCCTGCTGGGCCTCAACCAGAAGCTGCACGGAACATAGAAAGAGGAGCCAGGGGGCAGGACATATATGTATGGTCGAAAGGATATGGAAGGAAGGAAAGAAATAAGCGTTACAATAAGCGTTACCAATGTTCGGCGTTTCTGTGTCGGCGAACTCGGCCCTTCCTCTAGGAGAGGACGGATTGGTTGAGATCTCAAAAAGGATATGATCATGAATCAGCGAAAACCTCGTCTACTCATAGCATGGCTACGTGTTGTCGTTTAGCACCTAAGAATACATAAAAATCGTTTACAAAGTAGACGCGTCGTCGTTGTCGTCGTTGGGAAGCCTTGACCTCTGAGGGTTGTACCTGGATCTGTTGTGATTCATTGAAGATATGCCGCAGCATACAAGTGATGTCGATCTACAGATAATACTGTCACCTTCACTCCCTGCCCTGACGACCTCTTCACCTGTTACTGGTTTCTTGATCCTTCGCAGCAAACTACACACCAGACGATCTAGTCCTAAGTAGTCTAATATGCAACGTAAGGGGGCAGATACCCCTGCGCGCCGCACCGGCGAACTGCCCCTATTGACAAGGAAGAGAAGAGGCAAACAGGTGCGACATTACACTGAGTCAGGAGATGGGGGTTCAAGACGAACAATTCAGAACCAACACGACGAACACTAGGATGCATGGGAAAACAGCCTTGATTGCGGGAGCGGGACCCATCTTGGTGCCGCGGGCCAACCAGGCGGCCAAAAATCGTACGAATCGGGTGCTTTAAGCGCCTGCAGCCCTTGTTCCTGACATGAGGTTGCGGGCGGGTGAGAGATGCCTGCTTGCATGGGATCTCTCTCTGTGCCGCTCGGCTCTGCTTCGCCCCCAGCCGACAGACTTCATGAGGGTGTGATGGTCCAATACGCCGAGCAAAGAAGAAAGAACAGAGAACAAGATAGGGAAAAAAATAAAACGGAAGACAGCAATCAGAGAAGAATGATGAAATCCACTTATGCCGTGCTGGTCACCGGCCCCCAACGAACAAGACCCCTGGTCACACCCGTCTGCATTCAAGAAGACGTGCTTGCCTTCCTTGGCCACTGTCCTACTCGAAGCTGATTTTCACCTTTTCGTTTCCTTCTCTTTCCTTCCCCCTTCCAACATCGTATGCCGCCAATTTTCTTCTCTTCTTTTGGTACCACGATGCTGGAGTTTCATCACTCATAACACCATGGCGGCGAAACGGAAAACCAACGTCATCGCCCGGGCGAGCGTAGTATGTCTGCTGCTCATGAGCCTGCTGGTCGCATATGACCTATTCTCGGGGCGCGAATACTTTGACATCGCGTACAAGCCATTCCGTATGTTTCTTATCGCCATATACACGCAAAACTCACCTACCCCTCGTCCAAATAGGACGTCGAAAAAAGGAGTTCAAATTTAACTAACACGCTTGACTTAGGGAAGCCAGGACCGACAGAGAAAGCGCACGAAACATCCCCACACAATGAGGAGAATCAGACGAACACCGCCGTAACATCGCTGGCGATCGCGCCGTCGCAGACGCCACTTCCCCCGATTCCCACCCCGACACCGACGCCACCACCGGTGCCATCCCCTGACGATGGCGGTGGCATCAGCTCCACATTGCCGGACGCCAATCCGGAGCACCTCAACAACGCACCGCTTTACATCACCTCGATCCTCGACCCAGACAATAAATCTCTGCCTAGACTGGACTGTCCTCGCCCTGACATTTCACGCTACCAGTATCTCAAGCCCACCACCAAGCTGAAAAAACCCAAGTTCTTCATCGCCCTCAACATACGTGAGAAGGCGGACCTCCTCCCGCGACTCCTAGGCTCCATCGTCGAGGCACTCCATTTCTTGGGCCCGGAGAATTGTGTCCTCTCAATAGTGGAAGGCAACTCGGGCGATGGCACCTACGAAATCCTCCACCTCCTTCGTCCGGAAATCGAGAAGCTCGGCACCGAATATCACTTCTCCCGCAGCGACCTCGACCCCGGCGCGGGCGACCGCATCCCCAAACTGGCCGAGCTGCGCAACATGGCCCTCGCCCCCCTCGTCTCCGGTGGGCCAGGCAAGTACGCCGCCGACGCAGTAGTTCTCTTCCTCAACGACGTGGCCATTTGCCTAGAAGATATTCTCGAACTCGCGCACCAACGCTTATACCTGGGCGCCGACATGACGTGCGGCTTCGACTGGACCTACGTCGGTCCCGATCCGACCTTTTACGACGTGTGGATCAGCCGCACCATCGCGGGCGATTCCTTTTTCGAGATTCCGCCTGACGGCAACTGGAACTCTGCGTGGAACATCTTCTGGAACGAGGATACCTTGCGCCGGCGCTTCTTCGACCACAAGCCGCTGCAGGTGTTCTCGTGCTGGAACGGGGCCGTGGCGATGACGGCGAGACCGTTGCTGGATCGACTTGTTAGTTTTCGGGCGCCCGGGCCGGGGGAGTGTTTCCAGGGCGAGCCGCAGCTTTTCTGCAAGGATCTGTGGAATGCCGGGTTCGGCAAGATTGCGGTGGTGCCGAGCGTCAATCTAGAGTACAGTGACGAGGCCGGGAGGAAGATTAAGGCAGCAAAGGGATATACCAGTCAGTGGGTGGGAGGCGAGGACGAGGTGCAAGATTTCAGGGTGGATTGGAAGGCTGATCCGCCTGAGAAGGTGAAGTGCATGGCGAGTTATGATAAGCAGACGTGGGAGCCCTGGAATCAAGCGCTGGAGTAATGAGAATAATGTGGCTATGATTGAGATTAACATAAAGTATTGGCACTGTCTTTTTTCCGCTGGTTGATGTTTCTATCTGCGCTGCTCTATCCGAATCCTTCCCCCCTGAACCCCATGAAAGGAAAACTAACAGGTCCTCATGGGTTTATGAACACCCTTGCTCATTACCTATTGCCCATTGAAACAAATGCCTCCCAAACAATCTAAAATCAGTCCAAATCCAAACCATCCAGCTCATCCAGCTTCCGATCACTGCAATGTCGTACCCCCCACCCCTACCTACTCAAACTTTTGAAGTCTGGCCCACGCTTCATACATCTTCAATTCCGCCTGGGCCTTGGCCAGCTTATACTCGAGGTTCTCTCGATCCTCTGTCTGGCTTGGGTACGGGTAAGATAAGCCAGCCTTACCGTTGGGTTCCCACTTGACCGATGGGGCCCGGGCACGTCTAGTGTGGCTGCGGACCGGCTTGGGTTCATGAAACTCCTCCTCCTCTTCAGAATCTTCTTCTCCGGAATTATCTTCGGGATCCTCTCCGATGAGGACGGCGGTGGACGAAGCAGAGCCTCTTGGGGCTCGAAAGGTTCGTCTCGGTGTGGCCGGGGGCGGCGCTGCAGTGCGCTGGCGCTGTGATGATCGCGTAAACGCGGGCTGCTGGATGTCCCTTTTGTTGACGACGGGAGTGGAAGGCGGCGTGATCATGGTCCTGGTCTTGATCGTGGCCGTGGCCGTGGTTGTGCGCTGTGGTCTCACGGGAGCCCTGACATCCATTTCCTCAGCGACGCCGCCATCGTTAGAAACTTCAAGGTACGACCGGATCCGAGCCTTCCACTGCGTAGCCATCTCTCCAGCCTGTGACTGGTGAGATCTCTTGCACAAGGCGAGACCGGCGAGTCGCTCGAGGTGGGCAGACGCAGACGCCAGACTACCGCAGTTGATAATGTCGAGCATGACGAACGCCATCTCGGATCGCGAGGCCTGGCTGACCGCGTTGCCGCAAGACGACTTTGTGGCGGAGTGGCCCTGGCAGTTGAAGCAGGATCTGATGTTGACTTCAAGGCAGGTCTGGAGCTCGGTTGTAGTTTTTAGCCACTTGGTTTTAATGGCGGCGACCATGGTTGCTTATGAGTTGAGGTGGAATGATGAGGAGAAACGAAGTATAAATGATGCTGCTTTCTCATTGATTAGGGAATAGACACGGAGAGAAGCTGTTGTAACCCATCGAGATGGAATGCGGCCCTCTGAAATACACATCGTACTAACTGACCGTTTGCACGTCGGCCACGGCAGACTGGTGGTCATCGTCTTGGTCATGGAAAGCACTAGAGAATGAGCTGAAAGGCTAAAAGAGCCGTCTAGAGTTAAAACTGGTCTAAATCGGACATCCGCAGCTGCTGGAACATTTTTCTGCAGTGTGCTAAATATTCGCAACGGCGGTGAGGTTACTTCGACAAAAAGTATAACATAGTATGAAACCTAACACTTACACTATTATCCGAGACATAAGATAGCTTCAGTTGCATATTGTCTCTATATCCTCCATTATGTTTGAGAAAGAGAAGACTCTCTGGTCAGAACACAAGATATGAGGAGCGGACGCCTTATTGATTGGCTGAGCTTGGAGTTTTGGCGCAAGCACAAAGCCTCGTACGTCTTGCAGTATCGGATTCCAAGCAATCTCCAGCAACCGCATTTGATGCCTGCTGGGGCAGTTACGCTTGCGAAACAACAGCTGACCAGGGAAGCGAGGCAGGCAGGCTTTAATGCCAGCGGAGGGTCAATAATCCTGATCCGGTGTAGATCAAAACGGTACGGGTGCGATATGTGAGTGTAAAAGAACGGATAAATATATGAGGCTGTCCAAATTGACGAGATGAATGGAAAGGTGCCTTCTAGAATTATCGTGTTCCTGGGGCTTGGAAGCTCACAAGTAAACACTCTTGAACGTATCAAAATGCTGCATCACGGCAGACTACGTAGTCTTAGCAGTTACCGGGCAAACGGCTACGTTAGCCCATACTCACCGACAGGTGTGGGGAAGTATTACATCTCGGTTTAGATAAATTTGACTGACAGCGTAAATGCAGCGCAGTGTTTACTTAAGCTCCGTAAGCTCTAGAGGATGAAACACGCACGCTGACAACGTGGGTGACGAAAAAGATATGGCCCCTTCTGACTCATATGGCGGCCTATTCATTGTGTAAACAAGTTAGGAACCGAGAGATCTTCCAAGGATGACTATCATCTGGCTTCCGTGACTTTCTTCGGGTCGTTCTAGGGTGTTCATGCAGTTCTACACTATTCATGCGGAGCAGCATACTGCATCATCAAGTAGACCCAACTTGCGCAAACGCGTGATGCTAGGTGGTGAGGCTGACCGCCAGCTTCGTGACCCCTCTTCCTAACAGCTGGAAGTTGTTTTTGCGCGCATGAAATCTGTAGCCTACCCAAGTCATAGAACCACCAGTCATTCGTATGTTAGAACGGCAAAGACCAGATGGTACTGTGATCTGGGATGTTTACTGCAGTGGGAGGAGCTTTTTCGATAAGATAGTCATGGTAGTAAGGTGTTCGAGAAGCTGTTCCTTTCCTTCTAGACTGAAGAGTAAAGTAAGGCATTTGAAACGAAGCGGGAAAAAGGGATTGACCCTCAAGGAATCAAACAAAAAGCGTCGGTGTGGGGTGGCCGAAGAACTGAAGTCGCACTCTGGAAACCCTCCAAATCCCACTCGACCACCCAACCTGTTACGCCTTTTATGACAGGAAGGAAGGAGAAGAGACCCAAGTAGGCACGTCCCCCCGCATTCCCAATTAGGCGGCGCATTGTGTTAACAGCACCGGTCGTACCTTTACTCGATCAACGAACTGTTCTCTTGATGGTGCTCCTGCTCTAGGTTCTTTATTAGTAACAAGACAATCAGTGGATCGTCCTGTCTTGAATTGGATACAAGAGCATGCAAAATCTGCTTCCTTGAGTTTGACAAGAAGCTATTCGGGTATTTGTATACGACCGAAGGTTCCCGACTTTGGGTACCAGTTGGAGTTAAGCATGTAAGTTTTGCTGACTCACCTTGATCAACATATTCGTGCATCGTGGAGGAAACAAGCGTTTGCGCCGCTTGCAGATCATCGGATCGTATTGCCGACGGGGTAGGTAAGCCCGGACTTTAAGGACTTAACTCAAGATAATTGGCCACCGACGTTATCTCATCTAAGAGCTCAATCCCGCACCCATCACAACATTCTTGAAATTTTATTTCCAGAAGTGATTCGAACACATTGAACGAGCAGAATCAAACAACATGGACTTCGATTCCGAGACACAAGCAACCTCATCTCAGCGCATGTACACCGCGCGAGCTGACAACTATGAGAACTCATTCCATCCCGACTGGACCAAGCGCTTCATGGCCGTCGCAGATATCCAACCCGGTGAACGCGTTTTGATTCTAGCTTGCGGCACCGGCCTCGAGGTCTTCACCGCTGCCGACCAGGTGGGCGACACGGGCGAGATCGTCGGCCTCGACGTCACCGAGGCCATGCTCAACAAGGCGAGAGAGAAGCTGGAGCGCCTCAAGCCGAGTGCAAACATTCGTCTGTTCCTTCACGATGCCACAAAATTGGAGACATTGCCGGAGCTGGAGGGGCAAAGTTTTGATGCCATCTTGTGCTCCAGCGCCTTTGTTCTCTTTGACGACCCTGAAGGTGTCGTTGCGAGGTGGCGCAACTTCCTGAGACCGGGAGGCAGGGTGGTCATCGATATCACGCATGAGGACAACTTCAAGATCGGGCTCATTCTGGAGAAGGCGGCTAAGCGCCTACGGTCACGATTTCCCAGCAACAGGTCCTGGATCACGGACAAGAACTCCTTCACAAAGATTCTCGAGAGCGCAGGGTACGTGGTGGACAGGATCGAACTAATGCATAACATTTCCGGGAAAGGAGACACATATTACGGTATGGACCAGATTGACGAACAGTTTGAGCATGTCACGAGCACGTCGTTGGTTACCAGTCTCCCGACGGAAGAGTTCAGGGATCAGGCCAGGGCACTATTTCACGAAGAGTGGAAAAAGGCTGCCGTTGACGGCCAAGTCGTCAACGTAGATGCTCTCTATATCTATGTAGCCCGGAGAACCTAGGCTCGGCCATTACATCTAATAAGAACCTTTCCTTGCGCACCTGGCTCTACAACTTCGCCTTACCACTACCCTTCAGATTCGGCTTCACCGGGACCTTTGGATGGTCGCCCTCTAATGCGAGTCCGGTAACCTTCTCTAGTTCTTCTACCGCCTCGTAGGCTCGTCCTAGATGGACTTTGATAGTGTTGAACCCTTGCTTCTTCGCCTCCTTTAGGTTCTCGCCAATGTCGTCCAAGAACACGATATCCTGTGGTTTAATGCCCTCGCCCCACTTGAGCGCCTGGCCTCTCTCAGAGCTCGCATTCTGGGCAGCGTACTCGTTCAGCCTTTCCAGCGCGAGGTGATACATTCTCGGATCCGGTTTTCTCAAACCAGCATGTGCCGAAGAGACAAACACGTCAAACAAGCTGCGAACGGGGTCGTCCATGAAGTCTTTTCTATGCAGCTTGTGACCCTCGGGGAAAATGACGGTGTTGCTCAGCGCGGCGAGGATGTACTTCCCACTGGACTTGAGCTTTTTCAGCGCCGGGTACATCCACGGGTCCGGGGGAATCGAGTTGGCCATCATGGTGTTGAAGAGGTACTTGGCATCGACGGTAGGTAGGGGTGGCGTCTCCTTAGGGAGAGATGGGTTCTTTGCTGTTTGAGCGGCGTAGAATGCCTCCCAGCGGCCTTGGTCGTGAAGGTCCTTACTGAAGCCGTCAAAGAAGGCCTGGTCCATGGGTATTGAGCCCGTCTCAAGGCGATGCCAAAAGCCCGTAGGACTTGTCTTGGAGATGGAGTAATTCACCCATCCTGGCGGGATACCGAGACTGAGCTCATAATCTAGGATGGATTGAAATGGTGATACGACCTTGTCAAGTCAGAAAATTGGCCGTCATTAAAATATGATATGATACGCATGATTTACAATAACGCATTGGTGACTTGGAGGCTATTGAGCAGAAAGAAACCACAGGGTGCTACTTACACACACACCACCAATGTCGAATAAAAGCACCTTGGGCTGCTTGGAGTCTGTCATATCGTCTACAGCCTCGAGAACGTGATCAATCAGAAAGGTATCAGACTCTTCTAAAGACTGCATGGCTCCGAGAAACGGCAGATCTATGTTCTTACGAAGTACTTGTAGTAAACCCACAACTCGGGCCAGCGTTGAAAGTCGTGGAGAGCAGCGATGGGTTGGGGGGCCGAAATCTGGGGAAAGCCCCCACCTCGGTGCGGATTGTATTACCAGTGGACCTCGGCCCAAAGCACCAAGGCACTGAAGGGATTGAGAGGTCACTCGAGATGAGGTAAGCATAAGTGCACAGACCATGTCGTCCCCGGCCAAAGTCCAATCTCCACGTGACTCGTCCCCGACCTGCTTTGGGAGTGACAATCGAGAGGGGAGAGGTGGGGCCACACAATCTAGGGCTGCCCCAAAACCCACAGAGGAATATTATCGCGAAGTTGTGCCTTGGAACTTTTTTTTACTCTTGACAACCCCCTTCGACAACCACCCACACCGACAAATTTGAGCCAACCGCCCGCTCATATACCGTCAAGATGGTAAGTTGATACATCAACCATCAGCTCGTCAAAAGCCTGAAAAATGGCCGAACGACAAATTGCGACAAAAACCTCCTCTTTCTAGCCAGCAATGGCGAAAAAGAAATGGCCCCCAATAGCAGACAGAAATGTCTCATGGGATTGAGAGTCAACGCAAGATGCTTCGGGTCAACAGGCCATATCTGAAGCGCAAATTGCTGACTCGGGATCTTTCGTACACAGGCTTTCCACAAGTTGGTGAAGAACAGCGCGTACTACAGGTAAGTCTCAAATGACTTTAGAGATCCCCATTCATAGGTTCTTTCGAGATCAGAGTTGGCTGACCTTTCCACTCCAGTCGCTTCCAGACCAAGTACAAGCGTAGAAGATCCGGCAAGACCGACTACTATGCCCGCAAGCGCCTGATCACCCAGGCCAAGAACAAGTACGGTGCCCCCAAGTACCGTCTTGTGGTCCGCTTCACCAACCGGGACATCATCATGCAAATCGTCACCTCTGAGCTCACCGGCGACAAGGTCTTCGTCGCCGCCTACGCTCACGAGCTCCCCGCCTACGGCATCACCCACGGCCTCACCAACTGGGCCGCCGCCTACGCCACCGGTCTCCTGATCGCCCGCCGTGCCCTCTCCAAGCTCGGCCTCGACAAGACCTTCACTGGTGTTGAGGAGGCCGATGGTGAGTACACCCTCACCGAGGCCGCCGAGACCGACGACGGCGAGCGCCGCCCCTTCAAGGCCAACCTCGACGTCGGTCTCCACCGCACCTCCACCGGTGCCCGTGTCTTCGGCGCCATGAAGGGTGCCTCTGACGGTGGCATTCTCGTTCCCCACTCCGAGAAGCGCTTCCCCGGTTACGACATCGAGTCCAAGGAGCTCGACGCCGAGACCCTCAAGAACTACATCTTCGGCCAGCACGTCGCCGAGTACATGGAGACCCTCGCCGACGACGACGAGGAGCGCTACAAGTCCCAGTTCCAGCAGTACATTGACGACGACGTCGAGGCTGACGGTCTCGAGGAGCTCTACACCGAGGCCCACGCCGCCATCCGTGAGGACCCCTGGAAGAAGGAGGAGTCCGGAAACAAGAAGACCAAGGAGGAGTGGAAGGCCGAGTCCAAGAAGTACAAGACCAAGCGCCTCACAAAGGAGGAGAAGGAGCAGAAGGTCAAGGAGCGCATCGCTGCGTACCGTGCCGAGTAAATTCTTCCCTTTCTGTAGTAGCAAAGCGGTTTAATTCATTCGTGGTGGGGTTTGGCATCTGGGCAAGGCATTTGACGTTATGGCATGACAACTTTTCTTCAGTCTTCTTCGGGCGTTAATCAGGCAAACAAAAATCCGGAAGGAGGATTACGATGGTCACGGGAGGAGTCACAAAAAAAGACTCCTCGAGAATTCAATAAGAATATCCCAAATGCCAGACGTCAAAAGCTATTGACCATCCATTGAAATGTTTTTGTCCGAATGAGGGGAACGTGATAAGTGACAGCAAGCCAACCCTCTCCTAAGCGCAGGTAACCGTTCGTCTTCTTGCCATCACGGCGATGCCGGTCTACGTCAAAACGAAAACGTGCGTGAGGAGACGGCGCTACTGTAACGCGGTGCCGTCTTATGCCTCGGCGGCACGATTGAAAATGCTTGATCGCTCGCTAGTCGGACTCGATGCACTCCGTGACAGGCGATGGACCTGTCGGCCGCAAGGTGACGCAGATTGGCAGGCGTGTGTGATCACTGTGGTGGTGTGGCACAAAAAAAAAAAAAAAAAAGAGGGAGGGCATGGGACCCCGCATAGGAGCACCAATGATATCAGATCATGCGAGACGGCATTGGGGAAATGCGTCGATCTCTTACGAGAATCAAGAGATGATGGCATCTGCAAAACTTTTGGAGCCCCGGAGGGTTCCGGGATAGTGCAAAGGGCCATTGGCTTCATACACCTCGCGATGATGTCGGCACGGGTCTCCGTACAGACTATCGTGAGAGATGTTGGATCTGAGATGGGTCACAGCCTCCTCGCTTTCCCCCTTGACCAGGTAATCATGCCGCTACTGATGCGAGGCAGAGATGGGTCGATTCCCGTCTGGTCCCACAAAGCGTCCGAAAACTTTGTATGGCGACATAGGTAAAATTGAGGAGACACCATGAGATCCAATTTGGATCTCTCCGGTAATGACAAGGGACTTCAGAGGAGCTTAGGAGACACTGGCACACTGCAGCTATGCGCCAATTCGAGGAAGTCAACGATGAGAGACACGAGCCGAGATTCGCATTTCGTCACGTCGCGCGCGGGACTTACGGGATGAACGGAGGGCATAGCGCGGGGATGGGAGGGTCGCGAGAGGCGGAAATCCCACCTGGAGTCCCAGACCCGAAGCACATCATTTCATCCGGTTGAAAAATAAAGGAATGGTACGCTGGGAAATACGGCACACTGCTGCAGAAGGAGACAAGAGCCCACAACCGCTCCGATGTGCCGCCACGCAAGGTTCCGTTCGAGAGTGGGTGAGTGAGAGTCCCTGGTATTGTAGCGGTGTCCGTTTGTCTGCCCCTTTTAGACGAAGGGACACCGCTGAATGTTAAAGCAGGGGAGTCCCCCAACGGCAGCTCCGTTGGGTGAGGGCCCCGTGATCTCGCGATGCTCATGGGGCGGTCAGCCGGTCAGTCCATGGTCGACAGTGGCCCGTCTTGTGTATCCGTACTTATGCTCGTGGACTGGTGGCCCATTTTCTTCCAAATCACTGCAAGATCAAAGAGTGCATCTGGACCCCGAATCGACGCCGCTGTACTTACGCGGTAGTGTGCAATGGGGTAGTAGGTAGGTAGTGCACCTAAATGTGAAGGTTATGACTGCAAATGGCAAGTGTGAACTCTGTCGGCTTGTTTTGACAACGTGCAGGATGCTTGAGCGAGCCCAGTCACTCTATTCCGTAGAGTCCAGCGTTCAACTGTCAATGACTTGGCAGGCCCGCCGCCCCAAGGGTGAGCTGTGTGGTCAGTCCGGTGGTCAAGAGGCGCGCGATTAATAAGAGCCCCCATCTGCGTCCAGCCCACGTCCTCCTGTGACTCTGCAGTAGTGTGCGGTTCTAGTGGCAGGTTGCAGAAAGATGCAGGGCTGTTCGTCCGCTTGCGAATGGAGAGTGAAGGCTGTGTGTGACTACCTATGTGTGGTGACCAGTGAGGGTCGCCTTGTCGTGGATGCCAGGCGATTGGCGCCGAAATGAAGGTAACTCAGCTGGGGCAAGTTAGCAGCACACGGGGGGGGGGGGGGGGGGGGGGGGGGGGGGGGGGGGGGGAGGGGGGGGGGGTGGGGGGGGGGGTGGGGGGGGGGGTGGGGGGGGGGCGGGGGGGGGGGGGGGGGAGGGGGGGAGAGGGGGGGGGGGGGGGGGGGGGGGGGGGGGGGGGGGGGGGGGGGGGGGGGGGGGGGAGTCTCGAGAGACTGAGAGTGAGAGTCTGAGAGAGTTCCAGGTTGCTCTCTCTCGCTCTCCTGACGTTCATGATCCCCGCTGACGAGTGGAGAGGGCCGGCAGTGGCATCCAACCAGAGGAGAGTTGAAGCAATCCACTGGCTACCTGCTGACTGTAGGGCGGCGGAGGTCCCCTACAAGTACGAAGTCGGTGGTAAAGTACATGGGTCCTGGAGCCAAGCTATGTGCCATCCACGGAGGACGAAAACCGCGATACCGGTGCCTCTGGCGGTTGGCCGTGTCAGGTCCTGCTGCGTGCGGTGAGGAGGCACGGACAGGCGCAGTATCCGTACGCAGTAACAGTTGAGTGTGCGTGTGTGATGTTTCCACCACAGATGTCCTATCTCAAGCCCAGCTGCGGTGCTGGTCGTCTCAATATGGCGGGCCGAGGTTCTTACCCGGGGATCTGATCTCCCAAGTTGGCAGTGCCCACGAGAGGGGAGTTTGGGGCCAGGATGGAGCGAACCGCGGAAGACGGGAGTATTTGACCAAATTGAGGTACGCAAGAAGTCTAGGAACATTGGTGGTTAAAGACACAAAAAAATAACCAAAAAAACAAGGGCCGTCAGTGCTGCATGAAAAAACATACCGGGGAAGATTGCGGCATAAGATGTCCGTCCGTCTGAAGGTTGTTGACGCGGGACTTCCCATCGGGCCAGGATACTGGGAGGACGGCAGGTGAGGGACGGTATATATCGCCAGGGATAGTTGAATTTGTGTTTGGATGCCGTTAAAGCCTCTTTTCCTCTTGGTTTTCCTTTCTTGCTTTCCGTGGGTTTGTATTGCAAATTGTAAATGTGCCTTAGGGCGGGAAACCATTGCATCTTGTTTCATTGGCGATGAACAAGTGGTGACAAGTTGACAACAGTCAGCAATGGCGGAGGAAAGCACGACATTGGACTCCCGTACGGGGGGGTACTTCTTCTACAGAGTAGCCCATGTGTTTGGGTAGGTACCTCAGGCCAGCCAAGACCGGGTGGCCCCTCGGGTGAAAGTGAAGTCTCCAAAAACCAACCAGCCTGGGCCATGGCGCCGCTCATCTCCTGCCAATGACGAGATGCTTTGCCTCTAAAAAGGTTAATGAACCCCCCGCTAAAGCTGCCACGTCCGGCCTTTCCTTCAAGGAACCTTACGGCAAGGTACGGACTCTCTGGCTGCTTCCTGATTGCGCTCACTGTTTTTATTGCGAACCCAATGGAAGGTACCAAGGGTAGGAACTGAGGAAGGCATTACCGCAGCGGCAGTACGTAGCTACGAATACCTGCCGTTCCCCCTCCTCCTCTCCCCTCCCCTCCCCATCCGGACCCGGACCCTGACGTGAGGTTTCCGAACCTGCGAGTCTCCCCCAAGTACTTGGTCCCTGCCATCACCCAAGACCACCGCGAGCCCACGACTTATTCGTACCTTCTCTCCCGTCCTCGACCAACATCCCACGCTCGCCCTACCACACCCTTTCACGCCAGCTAACCCGGCTTTTCCAGAGCTGGACCGTCGATTGCAAAGCGAGGCAGCTTCTGTCCGCTCTTGCTCCGAATCGACTTACCGGAAGGATCCAAGGTGGTGTCCAAGGAACCGGGGCTAATAATCAACGAACCTCCGAGTACACTACGAAGTACCCTCCACCTCCCGCTTCCGCCTCCTCTTAGAAATCAACCCAAAAGTCACCCTCTGCCCGGCCTGCGCGCGCGCAACTATTCCATTCCTTTCTGTTGCGCCAAAATCGAAGAAGTGACCACCACCACCACCTTCTTCTTCACCTCCTCCGCCAAGCATTCCTCTCTCATCGTCGCCCCCTCTTCGCCTGCCCGGACGACTTCGTGCCTCTTTTTTGGGGCCCTTTTGCGGCTTCTTCGGTCCTTGACCTGTATTCTACCCTTGCACAGCATCTCTGCGACAATCGTTATGGAGCAGGTTCATGGAGTAGATGTTAGCTGGATGACCCACGGCGGCTCTCCGAAAGGTATGCAAAACGTCCCATCTGACCTCATTCTCCAGGGCAGCTAGTTGGCTATTGCGCTGGACCCCCAGTCACCCACTCACCACTCATATCGCGCTCGCCAACGCTGCCCTGCCTGCACCCGCATCCCAAGCCAAGTCGACCCAGATAAGCAGCTCGGCCTCGACCTACGAGCGCTTGCCACTGTCGACCGCATCTCTGGGTCTCTCGTGCCTGGCCTGTGGATATATCCAAGAGCCCGTCACTTCCCTCCACCTTCTCTCCTACCTCTCCATCGCGCATTATTTTCAATTACTCAAGTCCCCAAATCCTTCCCCTGCTAATCCAAGATGCGCCTCACAGACAGACCGCCGAAATCATTACCCATACGGCGATCCTCAACGTCCGCACCCAAAGAGTCATCACCACTCCCTTCTCCGACCATCGGCCAACCCGTTGGCAACGGGAACACCAACGGCACAACCGACACTGCGAAAGCGACAACAGAAGAATCAAAACCTATCCCAGTCTCGAGACCGCCTTTAGGTAGAAGTCCGTCGAACGAAAAATCACCAGGGCCGAACGGTACTCCGCCAACCCGCCGGAACTCGTGGTTTTCCAACATCTCTTCCAAGTTTTCCTCTTCACCAGACAGCAAGACTGCCCAGGCAAACCAGCAAGCACAAAGCACGCCGCCAAAGGACTCTGGTCCAGTACCCCCGAAAGTGACTCCTGCAAAGAACGCCGTGCTCGCACATGCCGCCAAAAACGATGGCGACCAGCCTTACACCCCGGCACCTCCCG